ATGGATCTTAGGGATTTTAAATTGATGGAGGAAATGGGAAATGATTGCAGCAAAGAAGAAGAGCGTTGATATAAGGGAGGATGAACCAGAATTGATAGATTTTTTCCACGATCTAAAGGCTTCAAAGACGACTCAGGGATCAAAGGAATGGGTCAAAAAACCCCAAGAAATAAGGAAACATTGTATTTTTACCTTGAAAGATTTTAAACGGGCTCAGTTAAACGATAAAAGATTTTTGACTTTGCCACCAAATAAGATTTGTATTTTCTGTATTGTATAAATTGATTGTAAAAAATTGTTTTATACTTTGTTACTTATAAAATTAAACATTTGAGGCTAAATGCTTATTAAGCTAGAAAAAAAATTGAGTGTATTTGAAAACCTTATTGTTCCTATAATATTTTTTAATTAAAACGACATCAATAGATAAATGTGTCATTTAGATGGATGGCAAGGAAAACAATCCCTATTTTAATAAATGAATATTGTAATATCCTTTTACCGAGTGTCACTCTAATACAACTCCTCATTAATATTTTGACATGTGTCATGTAGATATATTAGAAAACTCATTTTAAAATTCAAATTTACATTGTCTAATTATATGTTAAAATTGAAGTTATAATAGCTTTAAAATTTTGATATATCGCTTAATTTATTTAAAATGACTTATTTAAAATAATTGATTAATAATTATCAATTTTTATTATAAAATTTTAATTAATTTTATAATCGTGGTTTTTATGGGTTATAACCTACTATATCAATACATGCAAATATTTACATCTTTTATATGTGCATGTTTACAGATGCATTTTCTAGCGCGATTCTTCTAGTCGTTTTTTATAGATGCCATTTGACTATATATCTATTATACCTTAATATACATATTTGGTCAAAGGCTGAATTTTAAGAGGTATAACCCCTAAAGCATCATATACAATAACTTTATACATTAAAAAAATCAAAGATAAAGTGTAGGTCTTCATCATCGCTCTGCAATGATGGAAGGTGAATGAACAATCGCAAGAAGAAGGAGATGGAAACAACTATCGAAGTCCAGTGATTACCCAAGATGGAATCATGTCGGAGCCATGTCGAGTTTGTATCGAATCTGCCCGTGGGGTTAGGAAAGAAGCTTTAAGGAACGTGTTCTCCAAGTTCGGTGAAGTGGTGGATGTCTACATGGTGAAGAAGAAAGATGTAAACAGGAAATCATTTGCTTTTGTTAGATTCAAAAAGGCGAACAATAATGAACTGGAATTGGAGAGAGCCTTACAAGGTATCAAAATCAGAAACATAATATTAGATATCAATATTGCGAGATTTGAAAGGAATCAAGAGTCGACTAATACAGGAAACAGATTGAATCGACATCTGAATCGGTTCACCCAGGCGATAAACGTCACGAAAAAAGACAAAAGAACTTTTTCAGAAGTTGCAGCGAGTGGAAGTAAGTCCTTTCATATCCCTCCCCCACCTCCTCCAAATATGAAAAATGTGTTGGATTAGTGTCTAAGTCCATAACTATTTTGGTATGTACTTGACCCGATGGTGCATGGTCCTTTTGGGTTGCCTTCACCAAAGCAACTTGATAGGATGAATTATGGAGAGTAAGGATTAAATATGATTTATTAATATATTATGGGAATAATATATTAAAGGAGAAATCATATTGTTTAATTAATATTAGTCAATAATTAATTGGTAATTAGTTTTGTGACTAAAAGAGATTAATTAAACTTAAGGGACTGGAATTGTAATTATAAGATAATTATAATTTGGGCCATGGATTGCCTTGTATAAGGGATGGACGAATTCTATGGGAAGCCCATAAGGAAATCGTCCATGGGCTTAATTAAAGGAGTCTATGGGTTGCTTAGGGCTTAAGCATCCAAATTAGGGTTTCCTTGTTAGATAACCCTAATAGCCCAACTATATAAAGACCCCTTAAGGCTCAAAAACGTGGCTAAGCTTCTTGTAAGGGTTTACACACGTTTTTGGCAGCCTCCAACCTCTCTCCTCTTCATCCTCTTGCTTATGGTGTTTGTGAACCATTAGAGGAGTGACACTTGTGACTCTAAGCATTCCAAAGTCAATACAAGGGGAATTGGGATTGTTATTGCTACATAACAATCAAGGTAACACTATAAACTTATTCTCATGTTAATATGATTATATGTATGCTAGAATTAGGGTTTATAGTCTTGGATTCAAAGCATGTACAATAGAGAAACCTAGATCCAAGCATTAGGGTTTGTATGAGCACATAGGATGTCTTATGACCAAAACCCATCAGTGGTATCAGAGCCTAGCTTGGTTTCAATTGTATTGATGCATTGTATAACTAAAAAATTCGATTTTTTGGATTGTGGAGGCTGGACTCGTCGAGTCCATGGCTGAACTCGCCGAGTCCATGCCTGACTCGACGAGTCAACTCGTCAGACAGGCGGATTTTCGGGATTTTTACCTATTATGACTTAGGATAATTACCATAATTGTTTAAACTTAATAAAATTCGAATTTTATTAATCCCTTATGATTATCCTTGTCAAAATAAAAGATTTTGGTCATCTAATTAGATAATTGTTACCTTATTTGATATATGTGAAGTTATGGAAATTATTTGATCATTATCTTGCAAGAATTTGAACCAGATCTAATTAGATAACCACCAATTATAGTTAATTGCCTTATTTGAATTATGTGATCTAGAATATTCTTGGCAAAGTTTGGAATAGTTTCAAATTAATCCCTTTAGGTTTTATAGTTTAAATTTGAACCCCAAAAGTTTTGTAGTTTTGAAATTTAAATAGTTAAAACCCTAATGTTTTGAAAAAAAGGTTTCAAAACTTGCCCTCAAGTTTTGGAATTTAAAAGTTGATTAAAAGTTTAATTAGAAATGTTAAATTCTAAAACTCTAGTAATGTTTTGAAAAGTTCAAATCACACCCTTATGGTTTTATTAATTAATTAAGGAGTATAATTAAAAGAGGTTTAATAAATCCATAAAAGTTTAGGTTAACCATTTAATTGAATTAAAAGTGTAATTGTTAAAGTTAACCATATAGTATTTTAAAAGTATAAAATACACCCTATACTATATATAACATTAAAAGTCTAACATTATATATGTGTATGAGTAAAAGTCAGTCTTACCGTTAGTAGGCCTCATTCACGAAGCTGGTCTATAAGGGGTGTTTAAGGAAATTGCCTATAAAATGGCGATTGAATGGGTATCCACTCTTACCCACCGCACTCTTGACTAGTGGAGGGTCGTTAGCCGAACGGGTAGGATAGGACGAAACCTTCCATTATAAGTATAATGAAATACAAAGTAACTAAATGTTTTTTTCAAATTCCCAATCTTAGTTACTTAGGCAAAAGTGAATTGATGCAATTCCATGAAATTACACTTTGTGCCCTTGCGAAGACGTTAGTGGAGCGTGTGTGGTTTACCGGCACACTAAATGGTTCTAAGCAAAGGTAGCAAAGGGTGACTCAATGTTTGTCATAGTTCGGTGGAGCGTGTGTGGTTTACCGGCACATCGAATAGGTGATTGTAACATGTGAGGGCACCATGTAGTTTGCATGGTTATTCACACCCGCTTTGTGATCCTCGGCATCCCAGTCACAAACAAGAGGGGCATATCGAGATTTAAACATGCCATTGAAAGTTCAATGAATCTCAAAGGATCTAGGAGTTTTCATAGATTTAAAACTTAAATTTCTTTTTCGTTTTTCATGGTGGAAATTAGTGAATCGTCATTCACTTACCTTCAAATGTTCTGCATTTGGGTTACGGCATCCCTCCCGAGTTGTAGGATATTGTGTTGGGTCCTAGCCTTGGAATTTCATTTGGGTGATTTACCAAGGACTCAATCAATCAACTAACTTGAATTCGTTTTTCTCCCGATGTCAAAGTTCGACAACTATGGTCTTCTCAATCCCGTGGAACAAGCATTCCACATGAAGATGATATTCCACGATTCGATCGAGGAACAAGAAATCATGCTTCACTTCCTCCTCCTCCTCCAATTATTCTCCCTAACCCACAAGATTGTAAAATTGAAAAGTTCAATATCACTCAAGCCCTTTTGGCAAGTAAACATAAAGAGGGCAAGTCGGTGTGTGCACACGTCTTAGGGATGAAGTCACACATTGATAGATTAAGAATGATGGGATCCGTTGTCGGTGAAGCGATGGCTGTTGATTGGGTTCTTCTGTCACTTCCTAACTCATATAGTGAGTTCGTAAGAGAGTACTATATGATGAACCGCGACATGACCCTTATGGATCTCACCTATATGCTTATTGCTGCTGAATCAGCAATGGTTTGGCGCAATAGAAAAGCAAAGTTGATTGGTGAATCTGCCTTCAAGACCTCTATGGATATAGACAATGGCAATGAAAGACATGCAATGATCGAAAAGTTTGATCATAAGAGAAAGGCGATGTCTGAGGTAGTTCCATGTGTTGTTCCAAAGAGTCAGTTTGCTTTTATTGCCAAGAGAAGGGGCATTGGAAACGAAGTTGCCCTATTTACCTAAGAGATCTAAGAGATGGGAGAGTCAAAAGTATGACTACGCTTTAGGTAAGAATCCACTATCTAACTCCATTAAGTTCCTATTCATTGATTCTTAATACATGATGTGATAAGATTGCATTTGAATGTTTTGAAGGATCGGTGAAAAGAAAGGAAGCTTGATAAAAGAACAGATGAATCTAATCACAAGAGATGGATCTCGATCTCATGGACTTGAAGATTGGATAGTTATGATAGAGTTGTTAGAAATTTTCTTTTTACATAGTTTTCAATAGATTTGCATTGTAAGGACAAATGCTTTTCCGCTGCTTTTATAAATAAAATTAATTTTGTTTGACTTATTTATTTGTTTACTTCCTTGCAATGAAATCATTATGAAAATTGATGTTTGCATATTTCTACAACGAATGGATATGATTCTTAGTTATGTTATTTATGGAAATGTCAAGTGAAGGACTAGGAGATCGAGTACACAAAGTTGTGTGTTGATCAAGTTCACCATAAGAGTAACAAAGATATTCGTCATGATTTACACTTACAAATTAAGTGTAATTTTGAATTGATTAAAGGGTTTAGATCAATAGCAAAACGAATAAGAAGAATCAAGTAGGCAGAAAGATAAGAGTTTCTCCATTCTAAGAAGAAGGGAGAGTAGCTTTTATGCTTTATGATAGGTCTTAATGATTAAGAACCATATCTCAATTGATCCTCTAATGAGTCTTGATACAATTGTATGTCCAAGAAGAGGAATCAAAGATTGAAGAAATGGTCAAATCAAGAAGTCAATCATACTTCGTTCCAAAACAAGTCTTAAAGTCAAGATTGTGACATTGAGTGAATAGTATTAAGAAGGTTTATAACATTCATCAATTGTGGAAAGTTGTGATGTCTTGGATAAGACAAAGACCAACTAAGACCAATTTATGAAGTGTTTTGATACAAGCTACACTAACTCTTGAAAATTTGTTTGTCAAGAAATGTTTATTGACAAAAGAATCTTATATGTCAAGGAGTAGTGGGAGTCTTAATGGTCTCGAAAGTTTCAAGAACAAATCAAATAAACCTTATCGATCATCACTAGCACACGAGTTGAGGTTTACAACCTATCGTGAAGACATTATTTTGTTTCTGTGCCAATCTAATCAAGTTAATTATGCATGTGAGTCCTATGAGTTCTCATTTGAATGCGTAAAAGGCAAGGACCTTGATCAATGAAAGGTGCATTGATAAGAAAAAGGTAAGATGCTTAACTACTTGGAAGACGTGGTGGGCAGCTGTGCTACCATAAGGCAAGAAATCAAGATTAAGGAAGTTCGATCCATATGAGTTTGAATTTGTCGTAAACTTTGTTTTTAACAAATTCACATGGATAGGAACACATACACTGTTTAAATCTTAAGTGTCATAAGATTTCCTCCTTCATGAAAATGATTGTGAGAAATGCTTTCACTAAGAAAGATTTTAAAAAGATAGTGATTGTAAAATTGCATTCTCGAATTCGATCATGGTTACGGTATCCCTTTCCATAATTTGAATGTGAGGTTTGGCAATTAGTCTTAATTGTTAAGGACACACATATGAACTATCTAAGGCAAAAGTGTATAAGTTCAAGAAGTCTTGATAAAAGATTATCAAAGCACTAAGTATTAAAAATGACTTAGAAATTCAATAGTATTGTTTTCTGGAAGTTAAGATGTTTATGAATACATCTCGAAGCTAGTGGGAGTATAAGTGTTATGTTTTATAATAATCATCATGATAGTGGGAGCATAAATGTTATGATTGTATGATTATTAAGGCAAAGTATTGCATAGTTGGCAATATTAATTATAGAAAACAAGAGTCATACTTTGCAAAGTTGTAAGAGTTGAAAGTTGTTTTTGCTATAATTAAGGGAGAATATTATGCTTCATTTCAAATCTAAAGGATTAGGTTGTGAAATGTTAATAAACTTAGTCAAGGGTACA